AACTCCATCTCTACTAAAACTACAAAAAATAGCTGGGCATGTTGGCACACACCTGTAATCCCAGCTACTCGGGAGGCTGAGGCAGGAGAATCGCTTGAACCTGGGAGGAGAAGGTAGAGTTAGCAGAGATTGCACCACTGCAGTTCAGGCTGGGCGACAGAGTGAGATTCTGTCTCAAAAAAAAAAAAAAGTCCTGGCTTTGCTTCACTGATGGTGTGATCTTGGCGTCCTCTCCGAGCCTTAGTTTCTTTTCTTTTTCTTTTCTTTTTTTTTTTTTGAGATGGAATTTCACTCTTTTTGTGCAGGCTGGAGTACAGTGGCACGATCTTGCCTCGCCGCAACCTCCACCTCCCAGGTTCAAGCGATTCTCCTACCTCAGTCTCCCAAGTAGCTGGGATTTCAGGTGTGCGCCACCACGCCCAGCTAATTTTGTAGTTTTAGTAGAGACGGGGTTTCTCTATGTTGGTCAGGCTGCTCTCGAACTCCCGACCTCAGGTGATCCGCCTGCCTCAGCCTCCCAAAGTGCTGGGATTACAAGCGTGAGCTACCGTGTCCCTCTGCCTTAGTTTCTTTATCTTTAAGACAGGGACCACAATTCCTATTTTGCAGGACAGTAGAGGCATAAAACAAGCAAGTCTATTTTTTCCATCTCTCTTGCCTCCCGCCCCTCCTCAAGGCAATCCCATCTGGCTTCCCCCGGCTCTCCCTCAGCTTGCCAGGACTTCCATAAACTTCAACTCTCCCAATAGCAGTGAACATTGCTGACCACATCCCCTTTGTTGAAACTTTCCCATCAGCTTCAATGGCAAGCACTTTGTAGGTTTTTCTCTTTCACTGGGTGATTTTTAGTGTCCCCTGATAGGCCTATCTCCTGTCACTGAACCTGAAGCGCTAGCCCACCCTGGCCTTGGTCTTCCTTCCTGCTCTCTGTATTGAAGGAAACCAAAATATTTCACCCCAAAATATACTTCTTTGATATATTTCAAGATGGCTATTCAGGACGGCTGGAAATACAAGAATAGCTGAAAAACTGTCTTGTGTGGGGGAGATTGGCATCTGCAGAGAAAACTGAAGGGAGCCGGGCATGGTAATCCCAGCACTTTGGGAGGCTGAGGCAGGCAGATCACTTGAGATCAGGAGTTGAAGAACATCCTGGCCAATATGATGACACCCTGTCTCTACTAAAAATGCAAAAAATTAGCCGGGCATGGTGGCGGGCGCCTGTAGTCCCAGCTGCTCAGGAGGCTGAGGCAGGAGAATGGCATGAACCCAGGAGGCAGAGCTTTCCGTAAGCTGAGACTGTGGTACTGCACTCCAGCCTGGGCGACAAAGAGAGACTCCATCTCAAAAAACAAACAAACAAACAAACAAACAAACAAAAAAACACTGCATGGATGCAGCCAGGCTTTCTCTGAGCCCTCCCTTGTCCAGATCTACAAAAGATTAACTGAGAGTCTGAGTCTGACACCTTTAAGATGGAACTTTTTTTTTTGTTGTTTGTTCGCGCTCGCTGTCGCACGCGAGGCTGAGTGCAGTGCTGGGTTACAGGCATGAGCCTGCACGCAGTTATTTTTATTTTATTTATTTTTATTCCCTATTTTTTCTATTGTATTATTTTTTTGAGCAGGAGTCTCGCTCGTGCCCAGGCTGGGAGTGCAGTGTGGGCCCGGTCTCGGCCGACTGGCAAGGCTTGCTCGCGCGGGTTTCACGCATTCTCGGCCTCCGGCCCTGAGTAGCTGGGAGCTACAGGAGCCCGCCACCTCGCACGGTAGTTTTTTGTGATATTTTCTTTAGTAGAGGGACGGGGCTTTCCCGTGATTGCAGGATGGGTCTTCGATCTCCTGACTCGTTGATCCGCCCATCTTCGGCCTCCCAGTGCTGGGTTACAGGGCTTGAGCCAGCGGCCGCCTGGCGCGTTATTTATTTTAATTTTTTGAGATCGGATGCGGCGCACTGTCGTTGCTCTGTGCCCAGGCGGGGGTGCCCCAGTGGCGCGATCTCGGCTCACTGAGCTTGGGCTCCCCCAAGCGTTCATGCATTCTCCTGCCTCGGCCCACCTCCACCCAGTGAGCTTGGGCTACAGGTGCCACCACCCACTGCCGGCGTAATTTTTTTGCATTTTATCGTAGAGACGGGGTTACTTCACCCGTGTTAGGCCAGGATGGTCTTTTGATTCCCTGACACCATACCCCATGATCCGCGCCTGCGTCGGCCTCCATGTGCGTGGCATTACAGGTATGAGGCCCAGTGCCCAAGTCTTTTTTTTTTTTGTTTTTGTTTGAGTAGCTGTCTCACTCTGTGACCAGGCTGGAGTGGCGAATGGTCCGGTGTCTTGCTCACTACCGCCTGCCACCTCCTGGATTCAGTTGATTCTCATGGCCTCGCCTCGACCCGAGGTGGCTGGGGATCAGGCACTCTACCACCACACCAGCTACCTTTTTGTATCTTAATAGAGCCAGGCGTTTCGCGTGTCATGTTTGGCCAGGCTGGTCTCCAACTCCTGAGCTCAAGCAATCCTCCTGCCTTGGCCTCCCAAAGTGCTGGAATCACAGGTGTGAGCCACCATGCCCAACCAAGTCTGACACCTTTAAAGGTCTGACAGAAACATTTATCATCCATTCTCTCTGAGGGCTGCTGCATGTGAGGTTTCATTTACATCCCAAGAACCCCTTTGCTGACCTCCTTTGGGATGAGTTCAAACTCAGAACTCATCCCAAACCCAAATCATAATTGTCCCGGGTCCCACCTTTACCTACTTACTTTAGAAATGTTGAGGCTGGGCGCTGTGGCTCATGCCTGTAATCCTAGCACTGTGGGAGGCCAAGGAGGGTGGATCACCTGAAGTCAGGAGTTCGAGACCAGCCTGGCCAGCATGGCGAAACCCCGTCTCAACTAAAAATACAAAAATTAGCTGGGCATGATGACAGGCACCCATAATCCCAGCTACTAAGGAAGCTGAAGTAGGAGAATTGCTTGAACCTGGGGGACTGAGGTTGCAGTGAGCCGAGACCACACCACTTCACTCCAGCCTAGGAGACAAAGGAAAACTCCATCTCAAAACAAAATTAAAAAAACAAAGAAATCTTGAGTCAGACCTCCCTCTTTTCCACTGTCTTTGAATTGGGTCGCTTGTGCCTCCTGGAGCACATAGCCACCCACCAACAGCCCTAACCCAGCCTCTGCGGCGCCTCTCTGACCTCATCTCCTTCCACACTCTTGTCTTGGTCTCCCTGTTCCTGCTGTCTACACTGGGCTTGTCCTCACTGTGCCGTGCTCAGAATCCAGCTCCTCCCCGACATCCTCCTCTCCATTATTCAGGCCTCTGCTTAAGCCTTGCTCTTAGAGGCCTTTGATGACCACCTTCTGTAAATCCCACTCCCATTCTTTGTCACCCCGGCTCCAGTGCAGTGGCTTGATCACAGCTCACTGCAGCCTCGACCTCCTGGGCTCAGGCAATCCTCCACCATGAGCTTCCTGAGTACCTGGGACCACAAGGGCGTGTCACCACTCCTGGCTATGTTGCCCAGGCTGGTCTTGAACTCCTGGGCTCAAGTGATCCTCCCACCTTGGCCTCCCAGAGTGCTGGGATTACAGACATGAGCCACGGTGCCCGGCCACCCTGCATTACTTTTAATACGCTTAACACTTTTACTGCCATCTGACATGCATTTGTCATTTTCCATGCTAGAAGGTGAGCTAATGTGAACACAGAAACAGTCACTGCTACATCCCTAACAACTAGCATTCAGGAAGCACTCAGTAAATATATGCTGGGTGGATGATTCCATTTCTCTGTGTTTCCACAGCTACCACCCCTTTCCCAGGCACCCTGCAGACTCCTAATTGACTTTGCCACAACTTCATTTTGCTTTCCAATCCGTTTCCTAGTTGTCTTTTCAAACACAATTTTGATCCTGTTATTCCCGTTCAAAACCCTTCAAAGTACTCCTCAATGTCCTGAAAATAAAGTCCAAACTCCTGAGCCATGATCCTATGTGATCTGGCCCTCCTCCCTCTCCCTGTCTTTCCCCGCCCAGCCATATTGGTCCCAGTAGTTCAGACCTACCAGTCTCTCACCACCTCCCCTCCCACCTCCGCATCCATCGAGCCACAGCTGAAACATGGGGCAGGAGAGTGCAGCAGTGAAGAGCCTGACGCCGGCGCGAGGTTTTGTGGGCTGGGATCTGAACACACTTGTAGCACTGTGATCCTGGGCGGGATACTTAAAGCTCTTTGCTCTTCAGTTTCCTGATCTGTAGGAAAAAAACCACTACTCCTACCTCACAGGGTTGTTATGAGGATTATATAAAGCACTAGCCCACAGTAAGGGCTGAACATTCTTCCTCTTGGGGACATCTTCCCTGGCACCCTAGACCACATTAAATTGCCCCATTAAACAAGTTCACAGTACCCAGCTATGCCCCTTTAAACTTTCATCCAGTGATTTCTGCCTCCCTGCCCCCAGCATGGGTGATCAGTAAAGGGTACTGCCTGTCATGTCTATAGCTGTGCCCCAGTGCCTAGCACAGTGCAGGTCACAGTCAATGCAAAACACACGTCCTTCCCTGAACAGGGCTGCCTTTAGAGCAGGCAGGCACACAGAGGGGCACGGATCTGGCTCTAGTCACCTCCTAAGGTGTTCAGTCTTAACAGCCATTCAATTTGCTTCCAAATTGAAGTGCCCGTCCCTCAAGGAGCTCTATGGGTGTGACCATCCCAGCGCTAAGCACCCAGGCAGCAGTAGCGCTGCCAACGACCACTGCCTCACTGGGTGCCTGCAGCAGTGCTTAATCAATAAGCACCCTGTGGCGCTCCTAGGGAAGGAGGCGGAACAAGCTCTACCGGATGTCAACACAAAGACCTCTGCTTCAGAAGAGGTCTGACCTAGCAGGCTTAGAACTCGATTTGGTGGTTCTTAAGCGGGAAGGGAAGTCCTTGATCTCTCATAGTAGACTCTAATCCCTACTAGGCAACCCCAAGAAAGAAGATGCAGACACGCAGCAGTGAGAAAGCACAGGTCTTTATGGAACCGTGTCAGGAAAAGGTAAAGCTGTCAGGTGCCCATCTCCACCTCCACCACCTCTGCCCAGGCGCCAAGGCCCACGTCCTTATGGATTAGCACCAGGCTGGGGGCGGCACCCGGCTCCTCTGGCACCATGAAGCACTTCTCCTGGCTCTCTGAAATGGTGACCTCAACAACATCCCTGGCAGGGGAGATTTCCTCCTCTCTGTGTGTGTCCAGCAGCTGTGGCTCAGCCTGCAGGAGCACCATGGTGGGCTCAGAAGCAGCAGAAGGCACAGAGGGTAGGCTGCAGGGCGCCTCGGGCCGGTGACTGAGCTGGTGCCGCCTGAGGCTCTGCGGGAGGGTATAGCCCATGCCACAGGTGGGGCAGCGGTAGGGCTTGTCCTCCAAGTGAGATTTGAGGTGGCGCCGCAGCTTGGTGGCCAGCGTGTAAGCACGGCCACACTGGGGACAGGGAAAGGGCCTCTCTCCAGAGTGCAGGCGCTCGTGAGCTCGGAGCGTGTGTGGGTCTCGGAGGGCCTTGCCACACACGGGGCACAAGTGGGCCTCCCCGGTGTGGGAGATGAGATGGCGCCGCAGTTCAGGCAGCTGGGGGAAGGCATCGGCACAGTGCGGGCAGCGGTAAGGACGCTCTCCGGTGTGGAGCCGCAAATGCCCACGCAGGTTGCCCCGCTGACGGAATGCCCGGCCACAGTGCGGGCACAGGAAGGGCTTTTCTCCTGTGTGGAGCCTCATATGGTTCCGCAGGGAGCCCTGGTTGGCCAGGGGTCGCCCACACACAGGGCATGGGCAAGGGGCAGGGGCGGCTGGCACCTGGTGGGTCTTGCGATGCAGCCGCAGGGAGGGCCGGCGAGCAAAGGCCTTGCCACACTGGTCACAAGCAAAGGGCCGGGCACCTGAATGTATCACCTGGTGCTCTTTAAGGTCTCGCTGGGTGCCATAGGCCTTGTCGCATTGCGGGCAGGGGAAGGGCCGCACCCCACGGTGGCCCAGCACATGGGCTTTGAAGCTCTCCTCTGAGCTATAGCTCTTGCCACACTCAGTGCAAAGAAAGGGCTTGTGGCCTGTGTGCACGAATGCGTGCTTCTTTAGGTGGCACAGCTGCAGGAATGCCTTGCCACACTCTCCACACCGGTACCGTCGCCCCTGCTTTGGGGAGCTTCCTGCTGGGCCAGGAGGGCTCCGTGAGAGAGTAGAGAAGCCAGGCTGCTGGGCTCCAGGCTCTGGGGCCTTTGCTCTGGGTGGGCACTGATCATTGGGGCTGTGTAACTTCTTGGCCAGGTAGCCACGCAGCTGGGTGCCCCTGGCAGATGAGAAACTGGCTCCACTGCCATCTGGGTCCTGCTGGGTAGCCGAGTTGCTCTGAAGTTCAGGTGGCATCTGTGCCTGGGGCGGATATTCCTCATCCACGCTGCCATCCTGAAGCAATGGGCCAAGTGGCTGGCTATCCTTGGAAAGTTGGTCCTGGGTTGGGAACTTAAGTCCAGGGCTCACCATACTCTCTGCTTGGATGCCAGGGGGTGAGTGGGAACCAGGATCTGAAGGCAAGGATGGGGTGCTGGGGTTAGGGAGCTTCAATCCCGGTGGTGTTACCAGGGAATTACAGGAACAGATGTTTCTCCCACCCAGTCCCTAAGCTTTAGAGGGAGCAATGATGCCAATCTCTTCCCTGGAGCATGGGGTGCACACTCCATACATCTTCCTGTCCAGCCTTAGGCGCCTTTTGGAGATGCACTCCTGAGAGCCATGGGGTCCCGGCTATCTGGATAATCGCTAGAATAAGGCCATCCCAGATGAAGGATCCCCTTGTTCACCCCCTGGAGACACATATTTAGAATGTGATTCAAGACCCCCTTCCAGCCAGGCATGGTGGCTCACACCTGTAATCCTAGCACTTTGGGAGGCCGAGACAGGCAGACCACTTGAGGCCATGAGTTCGAGACCAGCCTGGCCAACATGGTGAAACCCCATCTCTACTACAAATACAAAAAAAAGCCGGGCGCTGTGGCTCACGCTTGTAATCCCAGCACTTTGGGAGGCCGAGGCGGGCGGATCACAAGGTCAGGAGATCGAGACCATGGTGAAACCCCGTCTCTACCGGGTGCAGTGGCGGGCGCCTGTAGTCCCAGCTACTCGGGAGGCTGAGGCAGGAGAATGGCGTGAACCCGGGAGGCGCAGCTTGCAGTGAGCCGAGATTGCGCCACTGCACTCCAGCCTGGGCGACAGAGCGAGACTCCGTCTCAAAAAAAACAAAAAACAAAAAACAAAAAACAAATACAAAAAAAAAATGAGCTGAGGCTGAGGCAGGAGAATCGCTTGAACCTGGGAGGTGGAGGCTGCAGCGAGCTGAGACCACGCCATTGCACTCCAGCCTGGGTGACAGAGTGAGACTCCATCTAAAAAAAAAACACACACAAAAAAACCCCTTCCCACCTTAGCTCATCTGTAACATAAAAGAACCCCCACACCAGAGAGAAGAAACATAGGAGGCTGGAAACCCTGTACATACAAAGCTTACTCTCTTCCTTACTATTCCAGGAAGCTCTTAAGAAGGTAAAAGTTGCAAATATCTATATTGTTATTCCAAAGAACAGACCTGTTGCTCTTCAACAGAAAGCACTGAATGACAATTTATAGTCCGAGACTGTCCCTTGCCTGAAAATTCTAACCTTGCTGTATCTACCAACCCTAAGCTACTCAGTCACAATCCTTACCCAATAGTAATCAAGCCCCACCCTCCTATCCCATGTTGAAACATCCACCTTCAAACAGATTTTGAAAAGCTACTAAGACTCTATATAGTGTCCTTCCTTACCGCAATGAGCCATAAACTCTGCTTTGTCTTATCAACAGGTTGTTTTGGTGGGGAAATTGCTGGGGAACCAGCATTTATTTGACACATACCTGTGCAAGGTTCTGCTGCATCCTCCCCGTGGGAGGCCACTTCCTGCTGAACAGCAGACCCCACTTCTGTCACCACTTCTACAGCTGCCTCTTTGTCCAGCCTGGGATGGGTGAGACTTGGGCCCTCAGAGGAAGGCCAGGGCCACAGCAGCAGTTCAAAGCCTGGCAGCACCAGCTGGTACACTTGCAGATGGAGCCTCTCGCTGATCCGCACTGGGGCCACATTTCCCTCACTCTCCAGTCTGCCCCGCTGCACCAAGCTGCAACGCAAAGTAACAGCCAGCTATGAGATGCTCACTATTCAAGTGGTCTTCCCTGAAAGCCCCAGTCCCCAGGCAGTCTGGGTCCTAAAGGACGCCACGCCTTTGGAACATACACTGCAAAAGAGCACTGAATAGGGAATGGCAGTCAGTGTCCGGTTCCATCCCAAGCCACAAGAGAAAGCCTCAAAGGAACGAATATTCATGACACACTCTCCTCTGACTTACCTAGTCCAGCCAGAACTCTGCTCACAGGCACACATGTCTCCCCATGGACCTAATGACAGGTTCTGAAATAAACCAACAAAAGTCCTTCTCAAATGTGTTCGAGGGGGTCGGGTAGGAAAAAAAAAAAAAAAAAAACAAACAACTAGATGAAACTTTCCTGGGACAAATTTAAGATGAAACTCCTGGAAGGTTACAAGCCTCTGGTTCTCCTCTAACAAGAGAGTGCTGTCTGATTCTTCATTCAGTAAGGACCAAAAAGTCTGTCTCCTCACTTCCCTCCCAAGGGTATGGAGAATTACTAAATTGAACACATTACTGTCTTCCAGTGAGGACTAAGCATAAAAAGTAATAAGGAACACCAGCTTTTTAAAATGGTATTTATTGGGCCAGACGCGGTGGCTCACACCTGTAATCTCAGCACTTCGGGAGGCCCAGGCAGGTAGATTACTTGAGGCCAGGAGTTTGAGACCAGAATGACCAACATGGTGAAACCCTGTCTCTACTAAAAATACAGAAATTAGCTGGGTGTGGTGGTGCACACCTGTAATCCCAGCTAGTCAGGAGGCTGCGGCATGAGAATCACTTGAACTGGGAGGTGGAGGTTGCAGTAAGGTGAGATCGTGCCACTGCACTCCAGCCTGGGTGACAAAGCAAGACTGTCTTAGAAAAAAGAAAAATAAAATAAACAAAATAAAATGGTACTTATCGTGCAGTGAAACCTTTTATCTTCACTATTTCATCAGCGCCTCCATATAATCCCAAGAGAGCTATTGCTTTGTTTCATAGATGAATTAAATGCGGCACGTAATTTAACCAACTAGGTGACAAGGCTGGAATTTGATCCCATGCTTTCTTAATTCCAAAAACCTTAATTCTTGACCTTCCTCACTGCTGACACTATACGATTCCAATTTAAACAACTTTTCGAACCTCCATTCTTTAACTGCTGCTGCTAAGAGGAGGAGGCAGTCCTGAAGAGAAGGGATAAGACCACCTCCTCCTCCCTCTTGAAATACTCTCTTTCTTCAAATTGAAAAGCTGTCTAGAAATGTCCAAACCTCCCCTACATTTTCAAGGGCGGAGAGAAGCCGCTCTATCCTTCAATACCTTCTCCTGCCGTGGCTTTACTCCCTCGCCCTTCTCCTTGGAGACAGACTCCTCTTCCAGCGGCCCCCACAGCAGGCCGGGCTGTAGGGGCTCCCCGACACACCAGACCCCCAAGCGCTGTTCCTTGGCGAGTGAGGGGCCAAGAGCCAAGCCCCGGGGGAGGCTCTTCAAAGCGAGGATGGCTCGGGTCGGCCCGGGTGGGACGTCTTTGAGGCCCTGCGTACAGCCTTCTCCAGAGGGGTTCCATCCTAAGTCCAGGCCCAGGCGCGGCTCGGGGGCTGCAGGGAGAAGAGAAGACGGTGAGGGAGCCGCCCAAGAAGGTGTGAGGTGGGGAAAGGTGTGGGAGGAAACCGCAGGTCCAGCTGGGCCTGCGGAGCCCGAGGAACAGGTGAGGGCTCTTAAGGGGGGCCCTGAAAGGTTTGAGGAGGCTCAAGGGTTCTTCAGAAGCCCCCAGCGACTCTGAGGACACTGGAGGATCCTGGGATCGGGAGGAGAGGAGACTGAGCAGAAAGCTGACCAAAGAGCGTCAGATCCATCTGGGCCAAGGTTGAGGGTCGCGGACATCGCAGGTCGCTTACCCAGTTGCAGCGCGTTCTTCCCCTCCAAGAGCGGCTCCTCCGCCTCCTCCATTCCGGGTCAGAAAGCCTCCCTACGCCGGAAGTGAGCGTCCTCTTCTCAGCTCCTCCAGGAAACAGTAACGGACTTTCAAATATTTTTCTCAGGAAAGAAGCCTCAGAGTTGGACCTCACTGGTGCACAAGACTGGGAGTTTGGGAGTACTGGAGAGACAGAACTCTGTCCGAGAGCAATGAGAACCTAGGATTCCGGAGGTGCACCAGGCATTCGAGTAGCTGGGAAAGCGGAACTGTTGTTCCAGCCACCTCTTTTTGGGAGTGACGAGTCGGACAGTTATGCTGTTACCTCCCCGGGGCAGGTACTTAGGCGGCGAGTGCAGGAAGTGGGCGGGGCTTCTGGAAAGGCCATGCTTGGGGCCGGAAGTGGGTTGGAGGTGTGGCGGAAGTGGTTGGGAATAGAGGCGAGCGGGAGGGGGCGGTTCCCGTTCCACCTCGGAGCCGGATGTTTGCCGAGCTTTGACAGGCGTGGCAGAGGGAGCAGTGCCAGAGCGCGGTGAGCTGCTGGGCGCGGGGTCTCCCTGGGTGGGGATGGGGAAAGGAAAGGAGCTGGCCAGGTAGTCCGAAGGGATGGGGTCCGGATGGGGAGGACCCGAGCAGATCCGAGGAGGGGAACGGGGGTGGAATTGGACTCAGAGGCCTGGACTTCCTGCAGGGTTTCTGCCCCATTTTGGCGCCTGCAATAAGAGGACTTAACCATTTTCACTGCCTTCTTCCTGTCTTCCCCAGGGCAGAGGCCAGGCCGGATCGCTGTCATCCAGCAAGCTGGCGGGAGGGGGAAATCTCCCATATCTGATCAGGCAAAGCACTAATAACAAGAAATTTGGGGGAAATGTTCCTCCTTACCACTTATTAGGCCACGCTTTCAGTTCAACTTATTTATTTTTTTAAGACGGAGTTTCACTCTTCTTGCCCAGGCTGGAGTCTCCGCTCCCTGCAACCTCCGCCTCCCTGATTCAAGCGATTCTCCTGCCTCAGTCTCCTGAGTAGCTGGGATTACAGGCGTCCGCCATCACGGCCGGCTACTTTTTGTATTTTTAGTAGAGACGGGGTTTCACCATGTTGGCCAGGCTGGTCTCGAACTCCTGACCTCGTGATCCTCCCGCCTCGGCCTCCCAAAGTGCTGGGATTATAGGCGTGAGCCACTGCGCCCGGCCTCAGTTCAACTTCTTAATTTGTGAAATGGGATAACTGCAATACGTAACCTGGGCTTTGGAAACCGTGAAGCTCTATGCAAACGTAATTGTAGTTGAGAGTTATAATTGCTGCTGTATTGTGGTGGGATTTGCAACTGGGAGGCCGACCCCAACATTGAAAATATTATTTCTTTTTTTTTTTAGACGGAGTCTCACTCTGTCGCCCAGGCTGGAGTGCAGTGGCGTGATCTCGGCTAACTGCAACCTCCACCTTCCAGGTTCAAGCGATTTTTCTGCCTCAGCCTCCCAAGTAGCTGGGACTACAGGCGCACGCCACCATACCCGGCCGATTTTTGTATTTTTAGTAGAGATGGGGTTTCACCATCTTGGCCAGGCTGGTCTCCAAATCCTGACCTCAGGATCCGCCCGCCTCGGCCTCCCAAAGTGCTGAGATTACAGGTGTGAGCCACTGTGCCCTGCGAGAATATGGTTTCAAGTTGCTATCTATGTTCTATGTAAAAGAGAATATTAGGGGAGAGGCTTTAGTTTGCTCTTTTGTGGCACCTCTCTGAACCTTGAGAATTGCATGAATGACAGCCACTTAGATAATTGTTGAGGTGATGACCCTCACCAAGAGACCGCTACAGACAGACATGGATTAAAGTCCTGCCTCTGCTGGTAGTATGACCCTCAGCAACTGGCTTATTTTTTTCTGGTCCTTACTTTCTTTCTCTTTTTTTTTTGACACGCAGTCTTGCCCTGTAGCCCAGGCTGGAGTGCAGTGGCGCGATATCGGCTCACTGCAACCTCCGTCTCCCGGGTCCTGGTTCAAGCAATTCTCCTGCCTCAGCCTTCTGAGTAACTGAGATTACAGGCACATGCCACCATGCCCAGCTAATTTTTGTATTTTTGTAGAGAAGGGGTTTTCACCATGTTGGCCAGGCTAATCTTGAACTCCTGACCTCGTGATCCACCTCAAAGTGCTGGGATTACAGCCGTGAACCACCACGCCCGACTGGTCCTCTCTTTCCTCACTGTAAAATGGGCTTAGTAGAACATGCCTCATCAGTGCTATTGTGAAGCTGAGTTTATGTCCCCAGTTCATGGTCCTATATAGGCCCTCAACAAGTATGGGTTCCCTTCTTTACTTAGGAGATGAATTAATTGGTTCAGTCATTCAACAAATGATAGCGTCTACTATATGTCAGGTGTTATTCTGAATAGGCCAGAAGTTCTTAAACAGTGATTCTCAGAAGGTGTATGAACCTCTTAAAATTGCATACATCTACTAACTTTTCTTAGGGAAAAAGTTCACAAATGTTACCAATTTCAGAAAAGTCTACAGCTTCCCAAAATTGATTGCCTAAGGTGATCCTTAAGTTTTTGTAAAGGTTTACCTGCTTAGAATGGAAAAATTAATCTCAGAGTTGGGTGTATTTTGCAGAGTAGAGCAGGCTTGTGGGTGGCTGGTGTCTTAAACAGGCAGGATACTTCGTTTCTACTATTTGATGTTAGAATTTCCCTGTCCTAGCTTCCTCACCCTCCCACTGAATGGGAGTTTAACTTCCGGGCTCAGAGAAGGTAACAGCTGTGGGTTGGGGGTGGTGGGAGGGGCCAGTCTGACTGGGAGATGGGAACTCCTGGGCTTAGTTATGCTGGGAAAGGAGGTTATGTGGGGGGGTTGAGGGAGGTCACGTCTGGAAGAACTGACAGTATAGAAGAGCAGTCATTGGAAAAGGGGTGAAGTTCAAGTTCAGCTCCCTTTTAGCTGGTGCCCTCCCTCCCTCACACCTACCCCAGCTCCCAGCTGCTCCTTTTTGTTTTTTAGACGGAGTTTCGCTCTTTCACCCAGACTGGAATGAAGTAGCACGATCTCAGCTCACTGCAACCTCCGCCCCCCAGGTTCAAGTGATTCTCCTGCCTCAGCCTCCTGAGTAGCTGGGATTACAGGCACCCACCACCATGCCCCGCTAATTTTTTTTTTTTTTTTTTTTTGCATTTTTAGTAGAGATGGGGTTTCACTATGTTGGCAAGGCTGGTCTCGAACTCCTGACCTCAGGTGATCCACCCACCTTGGGCTCCCAAAGTGCTAGGATTACAGGCGTGAGCCACTGTGCCCGGCCCCAGCTGCTCCTTCTAATCCTGTTGTTCACTGCAGCACAAAGTATTTCTGAACACTGGAGAATTATATTTTTGGGAGGTACCATTGCCTCTGCAGAGGAGGAAATTTAGGCCCAAGTAGGAAAAGGACTTGCTCAGCATCTTCACAGCTCACTGGCTTAGGCAGGATGATAATCCAGCTCTCCATACTACCTCATCATTTCACGGCATCAGCACCTACTGTGTGCAGAAAGACGTCTGGAGGATAGCTGTAGGCGGGACTGAAGGAGCCCCTGGTCCCTGGCCAGTGACAGGTTGAATAGAAAGGGTGGAGAGAAGGCTCTGGCCTGGAGGGGGTTGCTTTGAGCTGGATTCTGTCTTTATTACCCAGCTGGAGGTCACTCTGGGGAGCAGCTCCCACAGGCTCCTGGTTGGATGGCAGGAAGAGCGTGTAGATATTGAAGGGCTGAAGTGTTGAAGATTGAAGGGGAGTGAGGGAGCTGGGCTTTGGTGTCACTCAGAGAAAGGCATTCCTGACTGTGAGGGATCATCCTCTGTGTCTTGGGAAGGGATTATATTTTGGTGGTAACCAGGGGTAGTGGATGAGGGCAGGGGACAGGGAGAGGGAGAGGAAGAAGAGGGTTTTTTGGGGCCGTTTTGGCTGGTTGGGTTTGGCTTGGGAGCTTGAAACAGCGTTACTACTCAATCAGTTTGGTTGCCCTGGTGATAGGGTGGCTGTTGCCAGGCACAGGGAGAGGGCTCACCATCCAGGGCCCTTGGCTGTGATGTGATGTGTGCGGGAGGTTGTCAAGTGGCCTCAGAGCCCAGAGTCTGTGGCTCTGGGATGGCAACTCTCCCCCTCTTCTTCCTGCCCACTCCCAGGGCTTGTCTGTTCTGCTTATCTGCCCTGCTGATTCTCTGACCATATATGTCAGTTTTGGGGCTCCAGGAATGCAGCTGGACATGGAACAGCCTCTTCCTTGGGGTCAGACTGAATAGATTGAACTGAAAACTCCCCTCCCTCATGTGGAGAGCTTGTGGCAGGAGAGGGAGTTGCTTCCCATTAGGGCTGAGGGCAGAGGTGCCTACCCCCAGGCTGCATGCGGCTGCAGCCTTCTGGCCAGATTCCAGACCTGGAGAAACCCAGCTTGGTGGTCGGCTCTGCCCCGTGCCTGCTGGAGCTGCTGTTCAGCCGCTGGTCACCTCCTCATCTCAGCACTCCGGACATCGCGAGCATCCCCCTTTCCCATCTGTGGCCTCCAATCATTAGGGCAGTCGACTTTTCCACCTTGAAACTGGTGTCAGGAGCACCCCGCAGAGTAAGAGTGGGCTTGGACGCCCCTAGGAGCCTGCAGACTGTTTGCGATGACTGGCAGGCACTTCCACATCCCCTGCTGCTAGTTCCTGTCCTGGAACAAACCCAGCTGTGCCCCGCAGCCCTAGCCCCCCCGCTTTTTTTTTTTTTTGAGATGGAGTCTTGCTGTGTCGCCCAGGCTACAGTGCAATGGTGCGATCTCTGGTCACTGCAACCTCTGCCTCCCGGGTTCAAGTGATTCTCCTGCCTCGACTTCCTGAGTAGTTGGGATTACAGGTGCCTGCCACCACGCTCGGCTAGTTTTTGTATTTTTAGTAGAGATGGGGTTTCACCATGCTGGCCAGGCTAGTCTTGAACTCCTGACCTCAGGCAAGACTACCTCAGGTAGTCTTGATCCTCCCGCCTCGGTCTCCCAAAGTGCTGGGATTACAGGCATGAGCCACCGTGCCCGGCCAGTCATAGCCTTTTTTTTCTGGGACCCTGTAGTCTTTGGCTCCCTCCTCCCCTCTGGGCCAGGAATGAGGGATGGAGTGGCCAGGACCATAGGTGACCTTTTTCAGGTGTGGGATGGGTTTACACACCCTATGTTCCTTAGGGTTTTTTTTTTCTTTTTTCTTTTTCTTCCTCTTTTTTTTTTTTTTTTTTTTTGAGATGGAGTTTCACTCTTGTTGCCCAGGCTGGAGTGCATTTGGCACAATCTTAGCTCACTGCAACCTCTGCCCCCTGGGTTCA